TCCAAGAAGTGAGGATGCTCCAGCTTCTCTTACTTTCTGCAGCCATAATGTAGTTTTGTCCTTTTAAAATTAAATTTCCTTGGAGGCTGGGTAACTGCCTCAGCACTCAGATGTCTCTTGCATCTTGCATTTTTTTAATGCAGCTTAAAATCTGCAACACATATCCAAGTTGTGCTTACAAGCAAATCATTCCAAGCCTGCAGGAAGCAGTGTCTTGGACAAGCAGTGACCAAATTCTGCATCCATCATGTTTTCATGAAAATTATCTCAATCGCAGAAATGTGATCTTCTCGAACAAAATAACACTTGTGCATATCCCAGGCGTGAAAAGCAAATTTTTCCTAGCCTGACAGCTGCTGCTCTATCTTGATCAAATTCTGCATTCACCACGTTTTCTTGAAACTTTCTTCAATCGTCGAAAAACGATGATGTCATACAAAATAAAACTTTCGCATGTGCAACTCGTGAGAAAAAAAAACACAAATCGTTCCCAGCCTGGAAGCTATGTAAAATATTTTTCACTCACCCGGGTTTCATCAAATTGTTTCTCGTCAAACAAAATAAAACACTTGTCATGTCCCAGTCGTGTAAAGCAAATCGCTCCACGCCTATTTATACACAACAGGAAAGCAGAGTCGCGATCAAATTTCGCATTCACCGCGTTGTCATCATGGGGGTCTCGTAAAAGCTCACTTTACCATCTTCATATGGTCTTTGGCGACGGAAAAGAGGCAGCTATTTTCCTTATTTCCCCCCTCTCTCTCTTTTGTTTTTTTCTTCTTCTTCTTTGTCTCTGTGGCTTGCCTGTGCTGTACTTGTGCACGAGGAACAAGGGCATTGCTATTCATGCAGGCGTCTTGGCCCGGGATGCGAGTTGTTTTTATCGCGCATCTCGTGGAAAAAAATTTGAAGAGCAGCAATCATTCACTGAATATTATTCTCTCTCTTTTTTTTATGCGTCCCATTTCTATATTTTTCCCCTCCGATTTTTGTATATATCTTTTTTGATCGCACGTTGAAGTATTTCAAATTTTAAATGTTGGAAAATAAGCCTTTCGTTTTGAAACTTGAAACTAATTTGCTGGACGTGTGAAAATCAGATGACGTCTGATCAAATGAACATATTCAAGCAGCGTTGGCAGATTTTTTGCTCTCGATGTCTAGATTTTGAATTTTTTGCGATCTGTCTGAATCATGTAAACGCTGTCCGGATTCTGCTCTAAATGATGTGTGCAAAACGAAAAAAAAAATCATTTACAGTGGAATCTTTTTAAAAGAAAGCGGTTGGGACCTTTAAAAAGTTTCGCTGCAAAGAAAAAGTCTTATTTGGAACTCAATTACAAAAAGATTATGGACTTGAGATTTAATCCGTTATAAAGAAATTCGTTGTAACGATATTCTACCTGCTCAATTGCAGCGAGGATTGCAAAAAATCGGGCGAACATCGTGTCAATTTTTTCCAATTCTGTGATAAAGAGCAGCTTGACGAAAAATTGGTAGATGAGTTTTTAAAGAAACACACAAAAGGAAAAGCAAATATACAGTACTTATTTCCGAAATTTTCCAAATGCGTTGAAATCTCAGATTTTCACCCCGCATTCCTTCGGCAATGTCTCTGGGAATTTTATTTCAGCCAATTCTGTTTATTATGCAGCGGAAGAAAACTTCCTGCGTAATCTGCTCCAAAAAAAAAAAGAAGCAAAAAACCTCGGCACTGAAACGGAAACGTTTATGTTTCCACATGTCGGGATGCTACTTGCAGAGAAAACATCAACATGACGGCGGATTCACGGATGAAGCCCGAGCTAACTTCCCCGGATATTATTCTCAAGCTACGACACATGAATAAAGTGCCGCCATATGTATATTTTCTTTCTTCTTCGTATTTTTGCAGGCCAATTCCTCCTGGAATCTTCACGATATGACGAAGCAGCGGCGGAGTATGAAACTGCTGCTGAGTTGGCGCCCGATGACGTGGACGCCGTTTTGAATGCAGCCAATGCTCTTCGACAAGCCGGAATCAATTCGAAAGCAGAAAAGTTTTATCGACGAGCTGTTCTTCTTCAACCAAATGTGAGTTTCAGCAAGAAGAAAAAAATCACATTTCAAATCAAACCAAAGCAATGAAAGGCTTTGCATTTTTTTTAAAGCAATCAAATGACTTGCGAATAAACGAGGGGTTTACAACCGGTATAAGTCGCAAGGTTCTTCTGTTCATCAGTTCTGCTTTTCTAAAGAGGCGGGAAAAATTTGCGAACTTTGCATGGAAAAGAGAGAAATTGTCAATTTAACAAATCAGGAAAATCGTAGAACCAAAATAACTAGAAATGTCATTAACCCAAAATACTGGAAAGAACCGTTCAGTTGTAATCGAGTTGCATAAAGTTAATGTTCGGAAGAAATTTGAACAATTTATAAAATAATAACGTCCTTCATTCCAATTGAAGTCACGGGAAAAACCCAAGAGAGAGGCCTCATCAAAGCACTGTCATGTCTTGAAATCAACATTATCCTGAGGAGAGGTTCAGAAAATGTGCTCTAAAATTTAAATTAACGAGATCGAACTCAAATCTGACACTTGCAAGGTACTGAATACTCGTATATTGAAACTCGGTCGGTTCAAACAGAGATCCTTTACCAATTGATGTTTCCCAATAATGAGGCAAGATTAGACAATCTCTGCAAAATTTAGATTTTTTTCTTGAAGGCAACATCACATTTGTGTTCGAACACATTTTAATCCTGGGTTGGACCGAGTTATTTTATTCTTTCTGAATTACAATGCAGTTTTACAGAAATTACAAACCCCGAGGAATCGAATTTAGAATAAAACCCTGGGATTTGCTTGCCTTTCTTTAATTCAATTTTTCTCATACAAGCACTGATCTTTCTCTTTCTGTAGCATAAAATTAAATTCTAACGTAAAAATGTCGTGTAGTAAAATTCTTTTTCGCTGACAGGGGCTCATTTATGATTTAAGACAACAATTTCTATAGGAAAGTGATGTTCAGGGTTTCGAAAATAGTTCATGAGCAAGTTGTTTTTGCGGAGCAAAAAATGTTTTTTCTCACGTTAATCTAAGATTTATAATTTGAGAGCCAGTAAAAAAAAAGCTCATTGTTGTTCACGTTGATCCATGCTCAAAGAATCTAAGATGCATTTTTTTTTTTTAATCTCGACTCTACTGTTCAAACAGTAGCTCTTTTTAAACCCGATAATTTTGATCTTGTTTTTCCCTATAATCATCAAGAAAAAATTTCCGAATAATAATCCAAGAGTTTTCCGAAATGAAATTGCAACTCATTTAAGGTAAAGTGTTCTTGTGCGTTTTCTCCGAATTTCATTGAATGAAAAAAATAAAAAATAAAGATATCAAGAGTATGATCTCCTGCGCAAAGGCTCTCTTCGTGCAATTGCTTCATGAAGATTGGCGAAACGAGGTCTTGACAGGAATGTCGCGTCGCAATTATACCAGGAATCCCGTGACTGTCTTTTTCCCTGGAAAACTACCTAGAAAACAAGGGCATCAAGCGAGAAACCTATTTTGTTGTTGTGGTAAACTGTGAAGAAGTATAGCCCCGGAAGACGTTCAAGGAAAATTAGGTGCTCGGAATAACCCGGGAGACATTGCGGAAAACAACGCGGGTGTTTCCCCGGGCACGGAGCCCCGCCTTGTAATGAAAATTTGCATAATGCATGAGCCCTTTGGGAACCCAGGGGGTTCTGCTCCTGCTTAGCCTCGTTTACCTTTCTTTTCGTTTTACTTCCTCCCCCCCCCTTTCCTTACCTTACCTTTATACAAGCGGGAGGAATATAAAGGGGACAACACGGGAAAGGTTAAAGGAAACGACGACGTCCATGTCGACATCGTCAGTGTGCACGAGTTGAGACAAATGTTCTCGTTCGTTGCTTATATACACGGGCGTCACACACACACACACACAGGAGATAAGAAAGGAAAGAAGAAAATGGTTTCCGTGTGCCTCCCTAAACATTTATTTTTCCACCCGAAACGTTAACCCCCTTTTTTTTGCGGCTCACTGAAGCTGTTGCCTCGCAGTAACGAATTTCAACCGAATTCTTGGATTGTACCGAGATTCTTGCATGGAACTGCATGAAAAAATTTCCAGAGAACAGTATAGAATGCAGTACTTGAGAATCAGTGACTGTATTGTAAATTGCAATCACAAAAGGAGAAAAAATAGGTGTATAAATACGAAAATAAAACACAGAATCAGCTGTAGGGTGCTGCTGGGGATTTATTTTATGAAATCCCAAAGATAAAAGTTCTATGAGATCAAATAGTTGTCCATGAGTCCCTGAGTCATAAGATAAAATATTTATGTTCTTTTGTGATCATTGATCACATGCATTATAGTATAAAAAATAACCCATGCGCCGTTATCCAGCTTTTTTTTGCAGTAATACTTGAAATTTGCGAGAGTGCAGATGATACGAATTTTTTTTTAAATTGGTTTAGATGTCCATAATTGGTTAAATGTCAGTTTGAAGGAAAGGCCAAAGTTTCAAGCCTTTACATTAGAAAAAACAGACTTTTCATTTTTTTATTGTACTGCTGTAATTGATTATTTTGTTTACTAGATACAACTAACGTAGTTGAACGTGGAGTGAAAAAAGCGAGTTGTTGAAACAGTTTGAAAATTTTAAAGAGTTAGTTTTGATATGGCAGAGTTGATGATTAATTTTATAATTTATTTTGAACTACTGGTGATCAACTTTATTGGCAGGGAAATGCCGTACATAGCTGCTGTTGGCTAAATAAATCAGTGATCCAAAAATTCAGAAGAGAAACTATTTTATGGATTCTAAAACCATTGTGTGGATCAATCTAGACCCGTGCTCCCCAATCTTTCTGATGGTCCCACTTACCAGCAAATTTCCGTGTAATTTTTTGTGGACTGGCAAATTTATAAAATCATTTCTGCAGACCAACAAAGTTTCATAAAATTTGTCCCAACTCAAAAAAGTTTTGTTGGAAAAAATTTATGGCAGGCATTACTAACCCTTATTGGGCAGTGGTGCTGGGATTTATCCTGCAAAATTTTGTGCCACACAGAATTAAAAAAAAATAGAATGATGGGAAGAACCAAGGTTGGGAAAAATCCAAATTTTTTAGCAGTCCTGCAGGAAATCTTCTTAAAAAAGATAAAATTTACTGTTGGGGGGCATTTTTTCTAAATTCCTGTCATAGGATTAGCATTGAGGGATTTTAGGGACAACGGGTTTCCCGTTCCAGGATTTTTCCCAAATTTGGAAACACAGCCAAAGCAGCATTTTGATGACCTTGGGTCAAACCAAAATGCAGAAGCGTGCAAAAATATCTCATCACTGGTATGGGATGGAATTTGACCCACTGCCACTCAAGGGTTAGAAAGTTTCCGTTATTTAGACAAATTCAAATTAAGAACCAATGAAGCAGCTACAGTGGAATGTTCTCAAAATTTGAAAAGGTGGGCTTGAAGAAAGGTTTGTCAGAATGAAAAATAATAAAAAATTATTTCAACAGGCGAAGATTTGTCTGAAGTGTTGTTATTTGGAGGAAGGCAAATTTTTATTTTTGTCACATAATTTCAACTGCCACTGTCTTTCCAAGATTTCAGATAAAGAAAACAGACTTGATTGCTACTTTTGATAACTCAATTATGCTCAAGAAAATTTCCTGTCAACCGGCAAAAAAAAAAAAAAAAAAATCTGCAGACCACCACTTGGGGAACACTGTTTAAGACTCACCGTGTGCCATACATTTTTCCCAGGCACGGAAACTGTTCCATTGTGCGTTTGTACCTGCAAAGCTGACCTTATTTCTTTGCGAACTTCGGATAACCCGGGATAATGAGCTTTGTAGAACAGGCAACCCGCAGAACAGGTAAAACAGCATGAGCAGCAGTCATTCCATCTTGGGACCAGGGAACTTCCTGAACTTCCGTCGTATTCTTGTCGTCCAAGTCTGTTTTTGCCTCTTGCGAATATAAGCGATAATGTTTTGTTTTCTGGCTCAATTTTGTTTTCAAAGAAGGAATTGAAAATTGGAATAGATTAACTGAAGATAGCCGAATTAGTGAGGCATAAATTAGGTTGCGTTTTTCTTCCGGTTTCTGCGCCACATTTCGGAGCGCTCTTTTTTTTTGCGAATCAATTTCAGTCCCTTCTTCGAATTGAAATTGATGATCTGATTCTTCAAGAAGCCTTGGGAATTTAGAAGTATATTTTGGCCCCATGGATGCACAATATTCGAGCTGAAGTTCATGACTAATTTCTCAGGGATAAAATCATTTTCTAATCATCGGATTCATCTTTTCCTGATGCATAAGCGCAATTTTATGCAAATGGAGGCTTTAATATTTCTTATACGTTTCGGGGTAATCGAGAAAAGAGCCGAACGTTTATAAACAACAAAAGCATAAAATAGAAGACTTTAAATGAATCCTACCCAGAGTTATATTATGATATCTTGCAAAACTTGTCAAATGTAACCTCTTGAACATTTTCTGAACAAACCCAACACCATGCGTATCAAAATTTTAATCTGATCTATCGAATTCGTCCAAAACAAATTCAATCCATAATAACTGAGCTTTTTGAATGTCCAAAGCACACATAATCTTGCACAAACTGATCATTGATTGAACTATACCGCGTGACTTTTCGAGAGTTGTTCGTTTGTTCATTGCATCGTTTGAATAGTAGTTCACGATTTTTCAAATGGCTCATTTTCTTTGCGTGCAAAATTCGACTTGAATAATTTTTAGTAGCTTAATATTTTAAAATAATTATTTACTCTGGAAATTTTATTTTTTTTTTATCTTTTTTCTGAGCCTTTTTCCACTCTAGTTTTATTAATTTTTTGTTCTTAGCAAAAACATCTTTTAATAATATTATTGAAGATCCCACGCACAAACACATGCACGAATCTGAAATGAATCGCGTTCATTTCAACCTAGGACTCTTATTTTATCTTAGATCACCATCAAAAGTGATCAAGGATCCCTGTTGTCCACTGGTGATTCATGAACCTCAGGTATTCGAGTTTGTGTGGAACTCCTCCGTCGAAACTTGGCCCCAATTCCCCACATGCAAGGCTTTATATACAGTATATACAAAATACTCTCGTATGATGAGATTTGTTCGACGAAAACCCACGTTTCGAAAAAAAAAAAAATTGAAGCAATGGCAAGAAAGAAGCTGCATCATTGAAACTTGCGGAATAGTCCTTGGTAATCCCTTCCCCGCATCTCTCCCTTGTCTTGCCCTGGCGAAATGTCAGAGCTCGTGACAGTAATTGGCCGGAATCGAATTTTCCGCCCGTCTGCTCCTCGTTTTCCCTCAACGTCGCCGTCGAGCGTCGACAGTGACGACGTGTCGCCGTCGCCATCGTCGTCGTCGTCGTATATATCTGATGTTGGACCAATAATGACTTTAGGAGTCAACAGGGTGGGCGAGAAATGACTTCGGGGAAACGAAGCGAGTTGTCTGATCGTCATCTCGGCTCTTCACGGTTGAGGTGCCACGTGCGACCTGTCAGCGCAGTGAATTTCTTTTTTTTTTTTTTTCCGCCCCACAACCTCCGAAAATGAGGAAAATGAAAGCTGAAAAACACGGCGTAGACTTATTGAAGGAAGGAGAGAAAGAAAGAAATAAAGGAGACAAAAACGGAGAAATCGAAGCAGCAGAAGACGATTCTGGGGCCTCGGTTTTGTCGCAAATTTTCTGCTATAAGCCCTGTGTGACAGCTTATCTCCCGGCTATTCCGAGAAAACGCATCAACGAAGGCAAACTTCTTCTGGCCAGTTGTGCAAAAATATAAATTACTTGCATCTGAAAAAAATATATTGCGTCCTGCTTTATCTCTTTTACGTGGAACATTTTCGTTATAAGCATCCATAAACACTTCGGACCTATCGATTGAAACTCTAGACAACTACTTTACGTGAATTTGATGGCTTTAGAATGTTTCTTTCCTTTCGTGTACAAATTAACTCATTCAATCAGTCTTCTCCTTCCTCCTGCGATGTTTGAATAATATTACTGTATATTAAAATTGCTTGAATGCGCGAGATTGTTTGAATACTGCATGTTTCCCAATGAAAATAAATTTTTCATGCATGTGCTGCTTATTGCAGAAGGTTTAATTTGTTTTAATGCAGAAGAAGTTAGTAGAGTCAAATTTACAAATTGGAACTCAAAAAACTTCAGCAAGTGAACAAAGAAGGACTGCTTTCTATATTCTTGAAGTTAATTTGCAGTAGAACCTCTTTTGGTCGAAATTCAAGGGATATTCATGAAGAAGAATCGAGTTTGAGAGGCTTCGACTTTCGAGTTGAAAAAACAAGTACTTTTGTCGGGGAAAAGGAAGAAGAATTGCAGAAAATTTTGATTGGTGCTATTGTGGGCCACAAATTGCTTCTTGAATGAGTTGACAGGATGGTGCTCAACTCATGCTATCCTGGATTTAATTGCCCGATTAGTCTTCGATTTATTTTAAAATTCCATCAAATTACATTGTTGAAGCTTTTCTCTTCCATGTCTCAGTCCACTGATGGCCAAGAGACCTCCAGAAAATTTGAGTTCGGAGGTTTGAACGGTCAAGCCTTTGAATTATGGGTGTTTTTAACACTTCGTTTCTATTTTATAGGGAATTCAGACTGGGACTTGAAAACAAAATTTGAAAGGAGAGTATTTGACTTTCGGAGGTTTGAGCTATTATCAAGGTTCAACTGTGATTAGTCTTACTGTGATTCAGAGTATTGCAACTCAAAAATGTAATAAAGAACCCGGAGAACTATTACAAGACAGAAATAAATCTTGCAAAAACCCCTACGTAAGTCGTACAATTTCTAAAAAAAAAAAAGACCGATAATGTAGAAACTTTTGCCACTTTCAAATGCTCAGTGAAACTTCTTTCTACTTGTTTGTCAACTTCAAAGAAGCCTATTTCCGTGACAAACATCAGCGAAGCTATACAAGCAATGTCAAATGGGAGTTTTGCGGAACATTTGCCAGGACAATTTTCCGATTTTCGCGAGCGATATATACGCGTATATATATCCCTTGCTTGTTTGTCCACTTTGTAACTACTCTCTCTGTTCGCTGCTCCCCAGCACTTTCACCTTCTCACTGCGTCCAACTCCCCCTTTACGTTAAGTAATAGAAGGCGACCGTGTCCAAAAGATTACAGCGAAGCAAGTCATGCGAGCGCTAATTTCCGGAAGGAATGCAAGCAGTCAACCCGTGCTGAACACGGGTCGATTAGCAGAAAGCACGGGGTTCCTTCCTTCGTTCGTCCCTTATTCGCCCCTATTTGTCGTAATATTCCCTTTCGTATTTCCCGTCTTTTTTTTTTACTCTTCTCAAACCGAACCCCAATTTCGCATTTACCTGACATCAGGGAGGAAGATTTCACGCGTGAAATTAGCATCAAACCTACTGTTCCCCCACGTCGTCCCAGTAACGAAATAAATGAAAGGGAGGCACGTGAATTGAATTTCACCACGGGAACAAATTGTGCAGAGCAACGCATTCTGTGCAAAAATTCTCTGCGTCGTTCCCAGAACTGCGCCGAAACCACGTGAATTATTATTATTATTTTTTTTGAATTTCTACAGAATTTAATCTGAGAAAGCTGAAACTCGAATTTCACGATGGTTCAACTGAAAAAATAAAAGTCTTGGTTGAGGGTTTAGCCAAAAAGTTTAATCGAATTTTTTCGCGATTACTGTTATTACTGTAGAAAAATACCCCACGCTTCACCCATTTATTTTTTCAATCGCCTGAAAAGCTTGAATAAAGCTTCGGAATACATTCAAAGTTCAATTTTCTTGTCCTAGAATTTATTCGAATCGCAGAATCAATAATTCATAGTAAGCATGCATTTGATTTTAGCCCTTTTGATTGTCGAAAAAGTATTCCAAAAAAATTGAAAGTGAATCTCTGCTGCAGTGAATCATTAGAATATTGTACCCACAAAGCTTTCACATAAAATAGGGTTGCAGTAACGTTAATTTCGAGAATGAAAGCATTAATTTCGTGTAAGCTGATCCAATATTCTTATTCATGAAATGAATGCCACGTGTTTTCAATACGATTGACGTTGAACAGGTTCCGGATAAATTTCTTTTTTTTAATGTAAATTTCCTTGAAATTTAATCTAACCGGGAAATTTAAAAATCAGATTTCCATACAAAAGGATGTGGAGCAATTTGACCTGCGCGTAAAATTCTAGACTTCATTTGGCCATATTTCCATGAGGTCTGAAGCCCGACTGAACTTAAAAATATCCCTTCAGTCAGCTGTTGAGCAACTATAAGTGAAAACAAGTAATCAGCATTGAACAGATAATTCGTTTAATTGCCAAACTTTATAAAGTATAGTCCTGCATGCCCTCAGAAAAGATAAGCATCATTTTTGAGCTAAAAGAAAATCAGGTCAAACTCAGCCCGGCGTGAGATGTACAGTAAAAGTTTTCAGTAAAAAAATTAAATTCAGGGATTGCAGCATTTAACTTCATACACAAATGTAACGAGAATTCAACTGCATAATTTTCTGTAATCGTCCATCATTTACGAGCAATGTAATTGAATAATAATGTGGACAGGAATTTCGGAAAGTTTGCAGTATGAAAATATTCCGCCAATGGATCATGACGTGGACCGCAAATTTTTCTCCAACTTTTTGGAAGATTACTTAGCATATATGTTATAGATTACTGCACTTGTTGCATAGGCTGTATATACATACCTGATGCTGATGAGTGTTCATTCATGAGCCAGTATTTCTTATCTATACTCTGCAAAAGATCAAGTAGCTGGGGAATCTTTTTTTGCGTCCTGCCTGACTTTTTCCCCTTTATTGTATGGATTTACCTGCTGACAACCTGGACGCGAAAATTGAACTCGGAATAGAGGGGTATGAAACTGGGAAGCGCCTCTGCAAAGCCGTGCCCAAGTGGCTGTCAGCAAGAATGAAACACGTTGCCTTCGTTTTCTCCCTTTTCTAGACCCTTTGAATCTCTCTCTCTCTCTCACTCTCTTGTTCTATATATACATATACTGTACATGTATATACTGTATATGTACGTATATACACAAGTATGTACAGTCTAGACTTTAGAGTCTTTTCCCCGTCAGCGAAAATTGTTCAGCGCTGCGACGGAGCACTTGAGCTCGTCAACTGCGAAGTCGGAGTCGCTGGAATTAAGCCACGGGCTCCGAGTCGATTGTCTTTCCAATTCCCGCCTTACATCAAGTGCACATGGCGGATAATAACGCGAGAAACAACTTTGAAAATAGTCAGGCACACGCTTCAGATGCTCTCCTTTTTTTTTAAGTTTTCGTCAGACTTCGGGATGACATGCCTTTGTACACTTGTTCCAGGGCCATGTCAAGGTATATATGCTACAGCAAGTAGACTCTCTCTCTGTCTTTCTCTCTGTTCTCTCCCTCTCTCTTTATGTCTGTCTCTCTCTCTGTCTCTATAGCGAAAATCAAGGGAACAGCAGAAAAAGAATCGTAGTAGAGAATCCCAAGAACATGTGTAAACTCCATGTGAAAAACAAGAAAAAAAATTTACAATTCAAAATTGAAAAAAGCCTGCTATTGGAAACAAAACTTGGTGGCAGGCCAAATTCGACTTACGAAAAGAAATACATTACCCCATTCGTCGATCACCAATCAGCAGGGTTACCACTCGAAACAAATGCGTTTAAACTTTTTTTTTTTCATCTGATGGCATTAAACTACAGAACACCTTTTTTTTAAATTGAAAAGACAAATTCGCTGTAAATTTTCCAAAACAAACCCCAGTTGCAGCCTGAATTCAACTTACAGTACAACAACAAAAAATCAATTATTCAATTCACCCATTGTCCATCATCAGCAGGGTTACCACTCTAACCTTATGTGTTTTTATTCTCTTCATCTCTTTTTTGTTCTTTCTCTTCTCCTTCTGATGGGAATAAACTTNCAGGAAACCTTTTTACAAGTGAAAAAAGCCTGCTAATGGAAACAAAAGTTAGTTGCAGACCAAATTCGACTTGCGAAAAGAAACCCATTTCCCCATTTGTCAATCACCCATCATCAGGGTTACCACTTGAAACAAATGCGTTTTAACCACCTTTTTTTATGTGATATGGCATTACACTCCAGGACACGTTTTTACAATTTAAAAAAATTCGCGGTACACTTTTCAAAACAAATCCCAGTTGCAGCCTGAATTAAACTTACAGTACAAAAAAAATCAATTATCCGAATCACCCATTATCCATCATCAGCAGGGTTATACCACTCTGAACTAACGTGTTTTTTTTCTCTTCCTCTTTTTTTTTTTCTTCTGATGGGAATGAACTCGATGCAGGACGCGGCTTCTCACATGAACCTCGGGGCGATGCTGCACCTGAACGGGAAATACGAAGAAGCAGAGCGGAGTTACGTCAAGTCCCTGGAACTGCGTCCAAACGACGCCACGACTCTAACGAACCTGGAACGACTTCACAACCTTTTCGAGAAGCGAGGAATCAAGCGTCGCAAGGAACGTTGAAGTGTTTTTTCTTTCTTTCTTTTTCATTTCTTTTTTTTTTATGGTGGATCTCCTGGCTATATATTTTCACTTGTCGAAAGTGCTTTCTCTCTCGTGTCTCTCTCTTTTTTTTTTTTAAAATCCCTGATGACCTGTTCCTCATCCTCCGAAAGTCTTGTTTTATTCAGCTGCTGGTGAAACAGAAAAAAAATAAAAAAAAGAAAAGGAGAAACTGGAAGACTGCATTGTGATGACGACCTTGTGATTGACACGAACTCTTTTTACGCGTGTGTATGTGTGTGTTGACCCACTAAAAAAAAGAAGAAGAAAAAACAACAGAGAGAAAATTATGCGAGTCGCTTTGAACCTGTCCCCGATTTATGTTCAGCCAGCTGCTAAATATAAATGAAAAATTCTGTGTATTGGAGATGAAACGAAAGAGAAAGAAAAAAATCACGGAGGGAACAAACAGAGTTTGAAATTACTTGACAAATCGTTTCACTGTGCGTATTTTTGTTCATCGTTTGTTCAGAAAAAAAAAGTCGAAGAAAGAACCCGGTTGGTACAATGAAGAAAAAGAAAAAGAAGAAGAATACACCCTGATGGATTGTTTGAGTGATGGAATCTTTTATTGTGCTTGCAAGGCAATAAATGCTTTTTCGCGGCCGGAATCATTAAAACCATTTTTGCAGATATGATATTTCTAAAAAAAATATCTTCTAGTATTTCCCAGTAGAAGTGGAAAATTCAAAAAACGAATCTTCAAACGAGATGCATCATTTTCCTGGGCATTTTGTGTGAATTCTCACACAAGAAAATATTTTTCAAGCTTCATTTTAATGTCAGTAAACATACACGTGATATCATTCAATTATTCCATCAAAGTTTTCTACATTATCGTGCATGAAGAAGAGACAAACACATCATGCGAGGACAACTTATTTTTATTTTAAATTGAGATGCTTATTGGAAAGTCTGATGATGAAGACTATCAAATGATTCTCATTGTCTGATGAATTGAGCAGGCTTGGAAGTTATGACACGCAAATGCTGTTTATTTCCTTTTGATTTCTTCTAAATAATATACACCTATCAATTTTAGTTAATCATTCATTGCACATTATGCAGAAAATTACTGAACAGTAAATTCTGCAGATCACCTTGACCCGTTCGGATCACAGATTGATGATCAATGGTCGATAAAATTCCCAATGCATATTTATTGTTTATTTCTTTAATGTCTATAAGACTCATGATTATTCCTAATTCGGATTATCGAAAACTAGAAAAACGTGGATTTTTTATCAAACGATTTTCCCCGGTTTTGGCGATAAACTCCGTGATGTACCGGATACACTTGAAAATACAAAATTTTGATTGAGTTTGCACCTCGTTTGACTCGAAAAACTCAGCAATAAAAATTTTGTCCCTTCCATAATTTTTTTTTTCGCCATGAAAACAGATGAAGCCCTTTCTGATCCTTGGATCGAATAAGGATCATGAGCGAGTTCGTGACACAATTGCTCGAAAGGTTATTGTTCATTCCAGGAAAAAGCGTTTTCCCCCGGACCTTTTAATTCTGGGAAATTTCGGCTTGACCCCAGGTCATTCAATCTCCAGCCTGATCAATTTTATTAGCCGGAATTCAAAATTACTTAGATTGAATTTTTGATAAAACGACAAAAGTGAACCGCCATTGTTTAGAAAGGTCTCTCGTCAAAATATTGATGGGTACATCAGATGTAAAAACCACGGTTATATTTTATTTACTCGAATAAACGGTGTGAAAATCTAAGTGATGCAGTAGGGTTTTTTTCCGAATTTTGACGTGTCGTCACACGTTAAATCTGTTCGAAATTTTCCCTAATTGGCTTGGCACCAAAATTTGTGCGAAATTTTCAGACCTATCACCAGCATGCCGCCAAATCCGATGATGTATTAAAGTTTGAAATAAAACCTAAGTCGGGATTCTTTCACACAAAATCATCCACAGGCAGTTCCTCTGATGGACCCTCATCCCCGGGCAAAGTCACCCACACTGGGGAAGGATTCCACGTTTCGGATGCCCGTCTCGCCTTTTCTTCATTTTTCTGCCCGTGTCACATTGCCCGACTCAC